GGCTATGGATGCTGGCCTTTGGCCAAAATGCTTTCATGTAGACTCTTCCTAAAGCTGGGCTTCCTTGTAAATGGTGACTGGGTTCCAGAGTGAGCATCCTAAAAGATGGAAAATAGAAGGTGCCAGTTCCTTAAGGCCTGGGCCCAGAGAATGGCACAGTGTCACTTCTATAATGTTCTATTAGCCAGTCTATCCCAGAGCCCAGATTTAAGGGAAGGATACATAGACCCTTAACGCTCCATGGCAGGCATTTAAAAAAAAAAAACAAAAACTGCCACATCCAGAATGTCCTCCCTTGTTTGGTGAAGGAATTAAGAAAACCCAGCCCTGCCCTGGCCAGCTATTCTGTAGTGAGTTGGCTATATGTACACAAAAAAGAAACACAAGAGCCGGGGGTGTAGCCTAGAGGTAGAATGATTGTCTAGTATGCATGAGACCCCAGGTTTGATCCCCAGCACCACACACACACACACACACAAATAGTGCCAGAGGTCATGGCCCATGTCTGTAAGCCCAGCTGCTTGGAAGATTGAGGCAGGAGGATTATAAGTTTGAGGTCAGGGATGGCAAGTTCAAGGCCAGCCTCAGCAACTTAGACCTTGTCTCATAGGTAGATAGATAAATAAAAGGATGGAGATGTAGCTCAGTGGTAGAGGTACTTGACTACAAAGCAGGAGGCCCTGAGTTCAATCCTCAGTACTGCAAAAATAATTGAATTAATTTAAAAAATAGAAAAGAAACACAAACCCTATCAGCTTCCAATGCTACCTGTTCATGAAGGGCTTAGCAGAGAAAGTATATCAGGCTGGGGATTATGGCTCAGTGGTAGAGTGCTTGCCCATCATGTATGAGGCCCTGGGTTTTATCCCCATCACTGCCAAGAAAGGGAGTGGGGGGAGAGAGAGACAGAATATGAATGTACAGGGCTGGGGATGTGGCTCAAGTGGTAGCGCGCTTGTCTGGAATGTGTGCGGCCCGGGTTCGATCCTCAGAACCACATACAAACAAAGATGTTGTGTCTGCCAAGAACTAAAAAATAAATATTAAAAAAAAAAGAATATGAATGTACATCACCAGAACAAGGGAAGGGCCTAGAACTGTCAGGGATGTGTTCTGGTGTCCACTATGTGCCAGGCATGATGGAAACAAAGATAACAAACCCTTAGGCAGTGGTTTCAAAGGGCAATGCATGGACTAAAGGGAAGAAAGTGAAGAAACATCATCACCTTGATGTAACAGGTGCCACAGCTGAGAGATGCCCTGAGAAGCGACACTCTACTGTGCCCCAGGAGCCAAGACAGCTTTGCAGAAGTGATGTCTGAACCATATCAGAAAGGTACCCCAGGTGGAAGGACAAGCCTGGGCAAAGACAGACAAAAGGAAACAAAGTATTTGGGCAAGTGATTCAGTATGGCTTCGGGGATGGGATGGGTGAGCAGTGCTGATAGGGAAAGTTCCAGAGACATGAGGGAGCCAGAGTCAATGGAGTGTTACTACAAAGGCAGATCACTTGATTGCTGATAAGAAGTGAGTTTGTGGGCATTCACAGAAGAAGGAGGAAGAGGATGTGCATAATACAGTTGGCACTGACATTAAACTTGAGAGCAATCACAAGTGGGCAGTAGGGTCAGGGAGGAAGGAGTGTTTGGACATGTGGAGTCTGAGATAGATGGAGGGAATGGGAGTGGAGATTCCAGTTAGATCTGTGTTTGCATAGCTCTGGGCTGAAGAGCAGATGAAACAAGTGGGAGCTGCAGATGGAAATCTTTGACCACCATGGTAAACAGAGACCAAGTCTATATTCTGTAGGCAAGAAAGAAGCAGGGAGTACAGGGATTATAGTGGTAATACTAAATGAGTGTCCATAATATGTCAAGCCCAGTCCCAATCATTTTATGTAAATTTGGATGTCATGACAATCCTATAAGTACTACTGCATTTCATTGAATATAAGATATTATCAATTGTAATACATAACTTTTTTATGTATTGCTAAGATAAAATACATATCTTTTAAGTCATGGCATGACTTCAGTTTAAGATGAATTCTGATTTCAGAGATGTTAAAATGTAAAAAGAAAAAGAAAAAGGCCATGGAATCAAAGAAATACATAATCTGCATTTAAAAGATGAAGAGGGGGTGCTGAGGTTGTGGCTCAGTGGAGCCAGTAGTAGGAGCCAGCACTCAGGTTGGTGCTCAGTAGAGCACCTAGCATGTGTGAGGCACTGGGTTCAATCCTTAGCAGCACCTAAAAAAAGTATTGTGTCTATCTACAACTAAAATAAATAAATAAATAAATAAATAAATAAAATTCTTAAAAAAAAAAAAAAAAAGATGAGGAAGGGTTGGGCTGGGCATCATGGCTCTTGTCTATAATTCCAGCTACTCCAGAGGCTAAGGCAAGAGGATCACAAGTTTGAGGCCAGTCTCAGAAATTTAGAGAGGACCCTAGCAACTTAGTGAGACCCTGTCTCAAAAAATTAAAAGTTCCTGGGGATGTAGCTCAATGGTAAAGCCCCCCTGGGTTCAATCCTCAGGACAAAAAAAAAAAAAAAAAAGAGGAGGGTGGTGGGTGTGTGTGCTCAGTGGTAGGACACTTGCCTAGCATGTGCAAAGCCCTGGGTTCTGTCTCCAGCATCGCAAACACACACACACACACACACACACACACTGGGGACACTGGACAATGAAGTAGCTCAATGGTAGAATGCTTATCTTGCAAGGCCCTGGGTTCAATTCCTAGTTCTACTAAATAAAGAAATTTAAAATATAAGGAGGAAACAGGCACAGAGGTGTTAAATAATTTGCCCAAAGTGCAGTTAGAGAGCCATGATTTGAAATCAGGCAGCCCAATTGCAAAACCCCAAAACCCACTTTTTTGGTACTGGGGATTGAACACAGGAGCCCTTAACACCCCTGAGCCACATTCCCAATCCTTTTTATTTTTTAAATTTTGAGACAGTCTCTCTAAGTTACTTAGGTTCTCCTTAGGTTGCTGGGGCTAGCTCTGAACTCACAATCCTCATCCTCCAGAGCTGCTGAGATTACAGGCAAGCACCACTGTGCCTGGCCAAAACCTAAGTTCTTAATTATTTTGTGATGCTAGACAAGAGGTTGTGAGCAATATGACGATTTAGGAAGACCAGTGTGGCCACTGACGTTGACATGGATTGGAAGGGAGCATGAAGAGTCAGATGATGCATCTGGGAGATTGGGGTTCGTTGTGAGAGAGTACAGGATGAGGTGGAGACCATGTACAGTAGGGGACAGATAGGACAGAGGTTCTTCAAGAATTGGCAGGACTGTTGGGCATGGTGGCACATGGGACTAAGGAGGCTAAGCCAAGAGAATCACAAATTCAAGACCAGCCGCAGCAATTTAGCGAGACTCAACAACTTATTGAGACCCTGTCTCAAAAAAAATAAAAATGAAAAAAAAAAAAAAAAAAACAACCCCCAGTACCTGCCCCCTGCAAAAAAAAGAAAAAAGAGCAGGACTGAAGCCAGGTGCAGTGGCACATGCCTGTATCCCAATGACCTGGGAAGATAGGCAGGAGGACCACAAGTTTCAGGCCACCTTGGGCAACTCACTGATACCTTGTCTCGAAATAAAAATGAAAAGGACTGAGGGTGAAGCTCAGTGGTAGAGCACTCCAGGATTCAATCCCCAGTAACACACACACACACACACAGAGGCAGAAATGGACAGTTGATATACTGAATGTTGGGTTTGAAAACAAGGACAACTCCAAGTGTTGAGCCTGGAAAGCAGACAGTGTAGGAGGGTACAAGGCAGCTGCACACACTATCAGATGAATAAGTTGTATAATCTTGGACAAGTTGTATGATCTCTGGATCTCATATTTTCATTTGTAAAACAAAGGAATTGGATTAGAATGTTCTCTTGTGGAAGGGGTAGGAGGTCCTCTCCCCATCCCCAGGGCCTCTATAGGTACCCTTAGGGCAGCAGTTCGAACCCTGGCTACAGGTTATACTAACCAAGACCCTATATGAGACCACTTAATTCAGACTCTGGAAGTAAGGCCCAAGCATGAGTAATTTTAAAGCTGCTCAGGTGACTCAGATGTGCAGCTGGTTGAGAACACTTGCGGAAAATCCTCCAAGTACCTGCTTTGAAAACTACTAGGCTATGTGAGGGCTGGAATCCCTTCCAGTCCTAGTTGCTTAGATTGAGACTTGTGGTTGGTGACAGGCCTCCCCTCCCGCCCATGTTCATCTTCCATCTGCTACATCAATAACTCCTAATAGAGAACCAATACCAGGATTTCTCGGATATGAACTATTAACGTTTGGACAGTATAATACATTATTGTGAGAACTTTCCTGTTCATCATAGGCAGTTTAGCAGCATCTCATGTCTCTACCCACTATGTACAAGGAGCATCTCTACTCAATCAAAACAATAAAAAGTATCCAGAGGTTGCTAAATATCTACTGAGAGAGAATCTGAGGAAAGACATTCTACTGAAGGTCTTGGTCCCCTCACTGCCCTCCCCCTTGCAAACAGAGGCCAGGCAGAAATGGAGAACATAGTATCGCAGGTTTAGTTGGGCCCAGCAGGGGGAAGGCCCTTCCAAGGAGTCCAGGGCTGCTCAACATTAACACAATAGAGGGACAGTGTGCCAGCGGGCTGATGTGGTCTCAACAGAGAGGGAGGGAGTTTTCCAGAACACTCATTCCCGGATTCCCAATCAGTCATAGGAGCGCTCAGAGCAGCTTTGGGGGCAGACAGCCCTGGCTTTCCCGGAATGGGCAGAAGGGGTGTGGGAGTGGTGGTGTGTGTGTAGGGGATTCTTTCCTTCTGTAGATAATTTCCTGGCATGGCCCACTGCCCTGGTCTGATTGGTGGAAAGCTGGAGGGGAGGAACTTTCCAGCTGTGGGTGCCTGGGTTCCTCTGATGTTGGGAATCATCATGGAGATGTTTAGGTTGTAGGGTCTGGAACAATGAAACTTTTGCATTGGCACTAAGGGGTGGGCTGGTTCTCCACAAAGTGATATGGATGTTGTGGGTACACATATTCCTTAGAACTGCAAGTGGGGAGACTGTAAGCATTTTCACAAGTCATGGTTTGCTTGGAGGTGTCTTTGCTTGAAGGTGTCGGGACCTGAGGGAAAACAGAGGATGGTAAGCTTCAAAAAGTCATGGGAGGGAGCTGGGAGGAAGGAGGGAGGGTAGGGGTGAAGAGGTGGCAGTCTGCCCTAATCCCGCAACTCACTCCACCAGGAGGCTCAGAGCACCCAGAAGCAGGACAGCTCCAAAGACAGAGAACAGCAGAATCTTGGCTTCCCGCAGATCGTGACTACCTGCGGGGAACCCAGAAGGCCATGGATGATCCAGGGGATGATGTCCGCGGATGTTGGGAGAGACTATCGGTTTAGGGATGTGGGCTGGGCGGGGCCGAGTTGGGAGTAAAGACCTGGGAGGCACCGCTTTCGGGGCCAACAGGACGCCTCGGTGCCCTCGCAGGTGGAACAGTTGTATAGGATGGTGCTGCCCCCTGCAGGAGACAGAAGGAGCGTGGCTGGCCGGGGAAGCCCTGGCCTCCACCCTTCCAGCTACCCAACTTCCTCCCGAGCTGCCAGGCTCTCCTTGCTAGACTGTAGGCCTCTCATCCTTGCTAGCCCTTTCCATTTCTACTCACGGCAGGCTGGGGCACAAAGAGCTGAAATGAATGACAAGAAGAGGATGGGGGTGGATGAGCCGCTCAGCCACATACCCCATTGTCTAAGATCCTAGGCACCTTTGATGCGTGCCCTTCCAGCATCCTCACCTTCCCTGGTATACTGGGGGATCTTGGTCTTTTGAAGCCATTGCCAATATGAAGGGAGTGAGGAGATGGACCCTTTGATCTCTGAGGAGGTAGAGAGCAGCTCTATTGCCCTGGGTCTCAGGACTGCCTGTTCACCTCCCCCCCCACACACACATACATTCAGCACCCTTCCTGGTCAGCCCTCCCTTCTCCACCTGTGCCCTTCCCAGTCTCCCATCCTCCTCCTTGGTGTCCTCCCAAGCCCCAAGGTTTCATCTTCCCTTTGACCTCACCCATGACCCTCAGGACTCTGTGAGTCTTCTCTGTGACTTTGTTCATGGTCACCTCATCTGTGGAGATGGACAAGGAACAGTCATTCCCTCACCAGCCAGCCCAGGTTGTTGTGCTGGGCTCTTTCCTGGGATCTGAAGTTTTCCCAGGAGAGATCAGTGTGTCCAGTGTGGACTGAGGCAGTGGCTGAGGGTTGTATGTCCAGCTGGCAAGTCAAATACTGTCTCCCTTAGGGCATAGGAACTGTTGGTGGTCCTGTCCCTGAAACTCTTACCTAAGGCAAAGGCTGAGAAATCTGGGGAAGCCCATTCCTTCCACTCGGCCTTCAGTTGGCTGCTGAGCTGAGCCAGGCGACCAGGCAAGTCATGAGCTGGGAGGCGACAAAATATACAGGCCTGGGCAGCTGCCAAGAAAACTCCACCTACTGCCAGCATCCACATAAGGCCTACTGAGGGACGGGGTTGGAGTTAGTCCTAACTAGGCTAGGAAGGCCTCAGGATGCTTTGTGAACCTGGGAGGTTCTAGAGTATTCTAGAACAGCTGGAGGTTCTAGAACAATGTCATTACTCCATCCTTGGTTGGTGTAAAGCTGGGGCCTGAGGAATTGAGAGAAAGCAGAAGATATCTCTAGTAGAAGATAGAGAAAGTAGGGCTTCTGTTGCAAGGGGACAGTGGCCTTTACAAGTCTGTGGTTTCATAAGCTATTTTATTTTTCTTCTTGTAAATCATCCATGATAATCAATGGGTGACTCCCCCACTGAAGAAGTTGTACATGTGTATCACATCCACTCAGGGACCCAGAAATCTCATCCCTTCTCATATTCTCCCTCACTTTCTCAAACTCTTCATCTCTTCTCTCTGCCCAGGGCAGCCTTGGGCCTTCCCCAGCTATCTCCTAGTAACAGGCCCATGGTTACCCCACCAACTAAGAGTCCCCTACAGGTTCCAGAGGCCCAGCTAAGTCCAGTGACTTCTTTTACTTCTCCCAGGAAGATCCTTGTGACTCAAACTCAATCAGGCTCCTCCTGCCTACGTGGTGACATGGGCACATAAACATAAATGCCTGTACACACACACACACACACACACACCCTGTGATTAACTAAATCTCAGTTTACTCACACATATACCATGGATAAACTTGTGCCAGAACAGTTGCTGGGCAACCCCAAACAGGCCTGGACATACAAAGATCAGAGAAGGGCCATCACATAGACACCACAGTCAGCAACACTGATGGAACCAGGGTACCAGGAACGTACGTATCAATCAGACACACTGGCTAATATGCACTTACATACAAATGAAGTAATGCCAGTACATAAAAAGATACCACCCTCCTCCCCATGGCCAGCTTCAACTACAATATGGGATCCTTTAAAACACTTAGAATTCCAGGGAGTGCTCCAGCCCTCTTGCTAATGGGGATTCTCCTAGCTCCCTTATGTCAACCTAGGGTGGGCTGTGATCTGTTTCCCGCTCCATAGGTGGCTTGAGACACAGCGAGGAATCCCCTTTTCCATGTTCCAGAGCGTTTTGACCTCTCATTGGTCAGGCCAGTCCAAGCCACCCAGTGCCAGGAGGGGAAGCCACAGTCCAGGAGACTACATTAGGACAATCCAAGTATCCCCTTCCCCCTAGACTTCAGTGTTCCTTGGGGGTTTTGCTAGGTCTAACCTGGGCATGGAGGTGTTCCCCACTTTTCAGACCCCTGAATATTGAGCTTTAATTAAAGAAACACTATAAGTCTCCAGCCTCAGGCAAAAACAAACCAAGGGAACCTTCACTGCCTCTTTCAGGTAAAGCACCAGTTCACACCCTCTGGACCACTTGTGAGTCCTTGGTGGGCTCAGTTGGGAATTCCAGCCCACATCTGGGCTCTAGTCAGATGCACTGGGACCCCTGACTCTCATAGCTCCGACACCAGAGCTAGAAAGAGGCTTCAGGAAGCTTTTATCCCTTTAGCCTGCCCCTCTCCCCCTCCTCCCCACCATCAAACTGAGGACAGCATCCTCAGTGCCGGACAAAGCGCAGAGATCTGGAGTTAAGCAGGTCTTCAGGGTCAGGGAAGACCGAGTCAAGGCGGAAACCGTGTTCTAGAGCCACCCGCAGCACTTCCTCCAGGAAGCTTGGTGTGCCCACCACCTCCCGACGTTCTCCAGGCCCCCCAGTCCACAGTGGCTGTAACCCCAGTCTGCCATACTCGGTCTCAGGGAGTTCCGCCGGGCGCGGCGCCCACTCCAGACGAAAATGTGGCCCCTCCTCTACTCTGTCCCCATTGGCCACACCAAATCGAGCCCGCATGGCACCCAGACACTCGGGGTCGGTGCAGAAGAGGTTGGCTCGGAAGGTGTCCACCTGGACGGAGCTCAGCTCATAGTGGTGTGGGCCCCGGCGAGCAGAGAAGTGCACCAGGCGCGGGCTGACGTCTACATCTGCGTGGAGCAGGGCAGCTGTGGATGCAGGGGTCCCACGCGAGGCCTCCAGTTCCCGTAGGGCATCCAGAAGGGGCCGGATCTGGTAGAAGTCAGCTTCTGCCTTGAGAAGGGCTGTCTCTCCATACCCACGAGGCAGGTCCAGTCGGCCCAGCCGAAGGAAATTGAGGATGTGGCGGAAGGCCTTGCCATCCCGGTCGATGAAGTACTGGCCACCTTCTTGGTGGTTGAGATTGGCGGGCATCGGAGTGCCATCCCTGAACATGGCCCCCAGCATGGAGTCTGGGAAGCGGGTCAGGGTCTCCAAAGTAGTGGAATATAGCGTGCCCCCCACATTCAGGGTCACGGGGCCCCCAAAAGAAGGGGGCGAAGAGGACACAGGAGGAGGGGAAATTTTGGGGAGTACAGGAGACAGGGAAGGAGAAGAAAGGCAGAACTTCCTGGGTGTGTGCAGAATTGGCTGGTTGTGACTCGCTAGGTTGGAGGCACAGGCTGGAGTACAAGCTAGCAAGGTTTGTAGCTCACCCTAGCTACGTTGGTGGTGGTTATGGAATTTCAGGGCACAGAGAAGTTGAAAGAACAGATGAAAATAACAAAAGACAGCCAAGAGAGGGGAAGAGAGCATTTGGTGTAGACGTATCTGATTTGGGGTGGTCAGTAGTTCCTTTCTGTGGTCTTCCGACAATGGGTTTCCGGAATCCAACCAGCAGGTGACGGTGGCGAGCACAGGGCCAACTGTGAAGGGCCCAGCTTCCGAGTTTCTGGGCAGATCGCTTGGGCAGAATGCGAGTCCACGCAGAGCTCCGGAGACCAGTCAGAGGCCCGGCCTGGCTTCAGCCCAGTAGATGGAGGCCGGAGCTGATGAGAGCGGATGGCGAGCCACACTTGTACTGACTGTGGTGCAACGATGCACTCTCGGTCTGAGCTGGGAGTGTCCGAGGGCTCTGATGGAAGACGCCGAGTCTCTGGACTCCCGCACCGCAGCCTTCCTGCAGTATCGCAGCACTGAGGTCCTCTCCGCCCCCAGGAAGTGGCCTAAGGGCAGCGGCCCCGGGCTCTTTAAGAGACAACCCCGCCCCTTAGCGCCCCGCCCCCCGCCCCCGCGGGGCTCGCGGGGCTCGGGTGGAGGTGGGAGCTGAAAGTCGCGGACTGGAGAGACTGGGCTGACGGGCTGGACGGGCGGACGCGAATGGGGGTGGGATGACTCATGCGTGTAGCCCCGGATGTGGCCACGACAGCCCTGCGGTCCTCCAGGTGTGCTCGACCTCACGTCTGCAACCTGGCAGGGGCTGGAATCTCCAATCCCACCACTGTGAGAAAACCGAGGTCCGGCCGTCCCCGTCCAGGGGGCCAGTTCCCTTCCAGTGGCTCCCGTGGGGAATTCCCGAGGGGGCGGGTGCTGAGCCACCGCATTCCAGGGATGCCTTCCGGCCGGGGTGGCCCAAGCGAGCTCCCCTAAGGGAACGCCAGCCCCCACCCCAAGCTAGCTGGACGAGTCTGGCCACGTCTCTGGAGCCAGAGAACCCCGCCCCCCAAGGCCGCCTGGGGCCCTATCTGCCATTCAACTCCCCCAAGTGTCGCCTCCTGCGTGCGTGACTCGAGCCTGAAGACTCCCAACTCCTCCCAGCATCCCAGGAGCGGCAGCGCCCTACACACTCTGCCGGTCCCAGAGGTGGCGCCCAATAAATGATCTACGAAGAGATGAGCAAAGCACAGAGGCTTTAATGGCAGTGGAGACGGGAAGGGATGGGGGAGGAGCAGGGCCCCCAAGGTCTGGGATCAAAGCGTATGGAGGTCATAACTACGCCGGCTCAGCTTCTCCGGATCATCTGACGCCATTAGGGAGAAGTCGCGGAAGATGTCAAAATATGTCTCATCTCCTGAGGGGGAGGGAGGAAATGCTGGGAGGCCCACAGCTGGGTCCTAGCACTGAAGTGCACCGTAGGGCAGCTGAGGCCGGCCAGATAGGGGCTAGAACTTGGAGCGTGGGTGGAGAGAACTAGTGCTGCCTGAGCATAGCAGAGGCGCCTATTCTTTGCTTTTTTATTCAGAGCTGCTAGCACAACGGATGCGCCCAATACATGTTCGCTGAATTAAAGCAGTTGGGCTTGAGGGAGACAGGTCACCAAAGCCAGAAGCCCAGAATTCCGGTATTGGGTTTCCAGGGATGGGATAGGTGAATTTACCTGTCTGGCCCTGGGCCGCTTCGGCCTCCCTCATCTTTGCCAATCGTAGCCTGAAGGAGAAGGAATTAAGGATCAATAACGTTCTCCTCACCCTTCCTCAGCTCCATCCTTCAAGCTGGGTTGTGTTTCATTCATTTTTCCCAGTGTCCAGTGCTTAAAAGATGCTGGTCAGCAATGGTGGTGCCTGAATGATGGCTCTCAGGATGAACTCCCATCCTCTTACCCTGTCTGCCCACCTTCCTACTACACACCCCAATCCACACATCCTTTGTCTGGCCCAATCCCTCCATAACCCATTAGGCAAGCTCCCTTGTTGGCATTAGCCCCACCCTTCAGGCATTCTCACAGGGTGACGATGTCAGCATTGGCTGTTTCCATGGCAATGGTCAGAGGGTCCCTTCCTTCAGAATCCCGAGCCCCCAGATCAGCTCCTCGTTTCAAGAATAAGCAAGCGAGCCTGGAGAGGACAGTAGGTTCAGCTCCGCCATCTCACCCCTAGGGCCTTCATCCTGTTCAGAGCCTTCCTCCCCATGGCCATCATCTCCTGCTGCCCTACCCGGTGTGGCCAAGAATGGTTGCATGGTGAAGTGGGCCTCTGCCGGCACTGTCTGCTTGGTTCACATTTGCCCCATTCTGGAGGAGAAACTCACAGGCCAGAAGAGAATTCTGCATCCAGAAGTCAAAAAGGAGGATTGAGAGTGGCATCTTTAGAGGTGATTTCAAGATGTTTTAGGTGGGGTATGGTAAATAAGGGTCGGGAGGGTATAGCCAAGTGTCAGGCTTGTTTCTAGCTCTTTACACGTTTTCATATATTAAAGCCATAGTACAACCTTATGAGATATGCCATCCCAATTTTATAGATGAGGAGATGGAGGCACAGAAAGATTAACATCTTGTTCAAAGTCTTACTGTTAAGCGGTAAGACCCTGGATTCAAACTCAGGTTTTAAATCACACACTCTTAGCAATGAGTCTCAATTACTTATCTTCTCTCCCTATGGGGTGGGGACCCTAGGGAAACACTGGGGGAGTGGGGAAGAGGAAAGAGCTGGACCCCAAGTCTGAAGTAGAAGTCAGAGAAAAGGAGCCTTAGGGTGGGATGGGGAGGTCAGCATGATTCTTACAGCAGCTGTGGCCTGGATCAGCGGTGTGGCATTTTCCTGACCTCCATTGACCCAGTTGACATCGGCTCCATGGGCAAGGGCATCAGCCATGGTGGGAAGGGATGGAGGATGCCCAGCAGCACGAAACAACAGGGCCCCGGGGTGTAGGTGGCCCAGGTCACCAGAGGGGGGCTCTGTTAGGGGGATTTAGTTCTGTTAGGGATAATCAGTGCTGAGTCTGGGAAGAAAACCCTTAACCTGGTATCCTGATGCTGCACTAGGATAGGTCACTTCTAAATTGTGGGGAGGCCTTCATGACTCAGGACTATGGTGAGATGGAGTGACATGGGTGTGAGTACATATAAGTGTGAGGATGCATGTGTCTGGAGCCCTGGGGTATGGGAGACAGCATCATTCACCTCATCCTGTCTAACCACCCTGACTATCCAGACAGGCTGGATGTCACAGGTGAGTTGACTCTCCCTGACAGTCTCAGCTCTCACCTTCCTCTGCTCCAGCCAAGCTCACAACTTCCTTCCAGGTCTTTGGAGATCTTTCCCACTCTTGACTTTTCTTATGCTCTGGATACCCCTAATGTAGTCCTCCCTGCCCACTCCCCACCCCACACTTCTTCCTGTACTTAGCACCATGCCCCATTCTAACTTTCTGAGAGAAAGAGATGCTCAGAGACAGAGATATTGGCAGAGATTTAGGCAACATTCTTTCTCTATCCCTAATAAGGGGGATTAAACCAGGGAGCGGGGTGGGGGGCTCTACCACTGAGCTACATCCTTAGGCCTTTTTATTTTAAGACAGTCTTGCTAAACTGCTGAGGCTGGCCTTGAACTTGGGATTCTTCTGTCTCAGTCTCCAGAGTCACTGTTGCTGGAATTACAGGTATGTGCCACCACTCCTGGCCCTCCAAGACTCAAGGGGAGGGCCTGGTCCTCATTCTGTGTCTCCGTTTAGGGCCTGGTACTGTGCTGAGCACACAATGGATCTTAACAAATGCCCAACCAATGTTCTACCTGGCTTGGATCTGATGCTCCCTGGCCGGGGCTTGATGGAAGGCTTTGGGGGCATAGGAGGCTGCCCCCTCGGGGGCCCTCTGCCACCTCTTCGGCCTCGAATCTCTGGAAGCTTGGTCAAGAACTTCTTCTCCACGTATTTGGCATGAATCCAGGCTTCCTTCTCCTGCCTGGAGGAGACGGGCGAGAGAAGAGTCTGCTCCCTTTCTATCTCAGGTCCCTCCCTCCTGCTCCCCCCATGGAGGGGAGTCCTGGGCACCTCTACCCCAACCTCACCGGGAGCAGGTAGGCCCTGGCTTCTTCACTGCCATGGCCTCCACACGGGCCTCATAGATCTGGTTGATGACAACATTTCCCAGTTCACACATAAGCTTCAGAAGGCCAGGCAGAGGCAGAGAGAGACAGGTAGGGTTATAGGGTGAGAATCTGGTTCATTCTCCTCACCTGCCCTCTTCACAATATCCCAAGTTACCTTTACTAGTTCTGGCTCCCATGAGTCTAGGGTCAGGGACCGGACTTTGGAGAAATGAACACCAAGGCTCCTGAAGGGCCAGAAAGGGAGTCATGTCCACTGTGGGCAGTGGCCTGAAACTTCTGCTGCTGCTCCAGTAAACACTCAAAGGCAAGGCCTGCATGGGAGGCCATGCAGAGGAGTTGGGCTGGGAGGCAAGCCAGCTGGGCCATGTATCCTGGCAGGATCCTGCCTGTTCACCAATTCTTCCTTCTTTCCTATGTTTCATTTTAAGACCCGCATCCTCTCCAGCCACCTCACTTCTCTGAGGGTACCTTGGCCTGGACAAAACTTTCCATACCATCCCGCTTCCCTCTCATTGTACCAGAATGACTGGGGGTGAGGGCCTTATAGACTTGCTAAGGCCTCACAACTTCTCTTTCTGGTCTTCGTGGGCCTTCTCCACCCTCAGCAGCACTGACCCATGTTTCCTCCAACCAAGCTAGTAAATTCCTCTGTGTTTTCCCCAAACTTGGGCAGACCAGGACATCAATGAGGGCTAAGCCCATCTGGGTACACCTGGTATGCACCACAGCCAGAAGGAATGGGTCTCATGCTTGGGGCCTTGGGAATGACCTGTGGATGCCAGAGCATTGAATGCAAAGGGTGACTCCAAGGTTGATGCTCGCCCACTCTGGGGCTGGTTCCCGGCAGTCGCAGCACTGAGCGTTGCCATCTACACTCTGTACCTGGGCTGCCACGTGCCCAACTCCCCCAGGCTCCCTTCCTCTGGCCATTCCACCACAGCCCAGTGTGGCAGCAGAGCCCAAAGCCAGGTGTCCTGAGCCCTGGGGGAGACAGGAAAAGAAAGGATGACAAAGGGGCTTAGGATAAGGGGTGGCCCATTTCCTAGGGCAGCTAAGCCCTACATGCCCACATTGAGGTACCTGGCCTGGCCCACATGGGCTGTCATCAAGGCGAGCCTGGCTGAAAGCAGAGGCGATGCTGCTCTGTACAGCACTGACCCACAGCTGCAGGAGGCGCTCAGAGTCAGCCTGGAGGAGGCAGGACCTGGGTGGAGGTAGTGAGGGGGAGAGGGTGATTGAGGAAGGATCTGAGGCCAGGGGAGCCATATGGCAGGACACATTCAGCTAGTATTCAGCTGGTTCCAGTTGTATTGAAATATATGTGGCCCCTGACTTATTATGATGGCTTAACTTTGTCTTCTTTGGTCCTGGGGATTGAACCCAGAAGTGCTTTACCACTGAGCTACATCCTCAGTCCTTTTTTATTTTTTTGAGACAGGGTCTTGCTGAGTGGCTGAAGCAACTTATAATTAACTTGAAGGGCTGGGGCTGTAGCTCTGTGGTAGAGTGCTTGCCTCAAATGTGTAGGCACTGGGTTCAATCCTCAGCACCACATAAAAATAAACAAACAAACATATTGTGTCCATCTACAACCAAAAAAAAAAAAACTTAAAAAAAATAAATAAGATTAACTTGAGCTCTCAATCTTAGGATCCTCCTGCCTTGGTTTCTAAGTCCCTTGGTCTCTAAGTCACCCCATGCCCGGCTTTGACTTAAGTTTTTTTTTTTTTTAATTTACTGTTATGTGGAAGTGTACCCATACAACTATTTTGATCTACTTTCAGTAGAGTATTCAATAAATTACATGAGACATTCAACACTTTGTGTGTGTGTGTGTGTGTGTGTGTGTGTGTGGTGCTGGGGATTGAACCCAGGGCTTTATGCATGCAAAGCAAGCACTCTACCAACTGAGCTATATCCCCAGCCCAATACTTTTTTTTTTTTAAATAAAATAAACTGTTTTCTTCAACTACAAGCTA